CATCATGGATCAGTCAGCAGCAGCATCTGATCAATGTGTGATCCATGATGTCATCATGTAAATGTAACATTTTGTCTGTGTCTGTGTTGCAGCTGTCCTACGACCTGACGTGGCAGAAGCTGAAGGAGAAGTTCAGTCACTGTGGTTAGTTATTGATTTACCTGCTCACTGATTCCTCCCACTGTAAACACCTTGAATCYGTGCTTCATCAGGTGCTCTTGTTGCTCTCCTGCAGGTCAGGTGATGTTTGCAGAAATCAAAATGGAGAACGGCAAGTCGAAGGGATGTGGAACGGTCCGCTTCGACTGTGCCGAGAGCGCGGAGAAGGCCTGCAGGATGATGAACGGAACCAAGATCAACGGGCGAGAGGTGGACGTCCGCATCGACCGCAACGCCTGAAGGTTCAGCTCAGAGAACACTACGAGCTTCATTTTTGTTTTGTTTTAAAAACACAGTCCTTCTGACCCTCAGACAACTCTCCTTGTTTTTATCTACTGCTTCTCTGTTTTATTTTGGATTTATAAACCCGTTATCATTTGTCAGGCAGTGTATTTGAAGAAATAAACTTTTTAATTTTTAAACTCTGCTTATTAAGAGCTGAGACCTGGAGGTGTTTATTTCTCTTCTTAATAAAAAGGAACAAGGTTTAGTCTGCTTACATCTAGARGGAAATAAACATTTCATTTCTCTGTGGGTTTATGTTTAAATATCAATATTTTATATATTTGAAAGTTTTTAACAGGTTTGTTTTTTTTTAACCTGAACCAGACTTTTTATCTCGTTTAATGAAACCTAAAAATCAAGTTTTTAATTGGAAAACTCTGGTGGAGATCCACACGAAGCTGTGCCTCCTTCAGCTTTTAGTTCTTATAAACAGAAAGAAAACCCTGAGGAGTTCATCAGAACAACTTCTGCACTGAAAACAGTAAATATGACCAAAGATCCCGTTGCACAGATTTATTAAGTCATGTTTCAAACATTCACCATCTTAAAACCTGTTTAAACCATCCTGAAGTTCCCCACTGATCCAATATAATCCCTTAAAGGATCAGGTTAATCCTAAAGATTAAAAAGACTGGTAATCTGAGCTGAGGGGTTCAGAGTTAAAAACAAAACCACCAAGTGTTCAAAAAACTCATTTTTTAAATCCTTATTAAAATATGCCTCAATTTTGATCAAATGTATGTGCTACGTTATGGTGCAGAATGAGAGTTAAAGTTCAGAATACTGCTCAACCAGTGGTTGTTACATCCCATATCTGTTCTAAACCAGCTGTTATCTGATAGGTCAGCACCGCAGACTGACAGGATGGAGCTGGCCAATGAGAAGACTTAATATTTGTGTTAGCATCAGAGAGGCTAGTGACTAGCATGGATTAGATGGAATTAGCATCAGAAATGCTAGCTACTAGCATGGATTACCTGGTGTTAGCATCAGAGAGGCTAACATGGATCAGCTGGTACTAGCATCAGAGAGGCTAGTGACTAGCGTGGATTAGCTGGTGCTAGCATCAGAGAGGCTAGTGACTAGCGTGGATTAGCTGGAGTTAGCATCAGAGAGGCTAGTGACTAGCGTGGATTAGCTGGAGTTAGCATCAGAGAGACTAGTTACTAGCATAGATTAGCTGGTGCTAACATCAGATAGGCTAGTGACTAGCATGGATTAGCTGGTGCTAGCATCAGAAAGGCTAGTGACTAGCATGGATTAGCTGGAATTAGCATCAGAGGCTAGTGACTAGCAAGGATTAGCTGGTGCTAGCATCAGGTAGGCTAGTGACTAGCATGGATTAGCTGGAATTAGCATCAGAAATGCTAGCTACTAGCATGGATTACCTGTTGTTAGCATCACAGAGGCTAACGGATCAGCTGGTGCTAGCATCAGAGAGGCTAGTGACTAGCGTGGATTAGCTGGAGTTAGCATCAGAGAGGCTAGTGACTAGCGTGGATTAGCTGGAGTT